AGAGACAGAGCGGGGAAACAGAGAGAGGGGACAGAGAGCAGGAACAGGGGGAGAGAGAGAGAGAGAGGGCAGGGGCCTATCTTTTAAAGGGGTCCTCTGCACCTGCGTACAGACTTCTTTCCCATGGAACCTTGGGTTGACCAGGGTATTGCCTGAGTGGATTCCACCAGGTAACGGGCAGGCCAGCATAATGCCTGAACCTTTCACTCTGGCCTCCCGGAGCCTAGGGCCAAAAACAGGATGTAATCCTGTAGCTTTTGTCTTGAAAACCTAGCAGTAGACAGGGAATTTCACTTCCTCTGGAGGCTGCTGCATCAGCTAGCCAGACGGGGTCCCTGTCGTGGTTGGATTAATAAAGCCTTGCTTTTGCAGTTTGGTGGGTCTATCTGTCTTCCTGGTGGTCTCTGGGGGATCTTTGCAACTTGGGCACAACAATACAACCCACATGAGTTATCTACCCACAGGTAGCATCTTTGGAATTGAGTGGGCAATTGTCCACCAGACTTTGGGATCCCATGGTCAATACTTAAAATGCTACAGTAGGGTACCCAGTATCGCAGGCCTTCATCCTAGGCGATTGCATCTTGTTGCAAGAAGCATAGCTCTCACCTCAAAGTGGCTAAGGCAGAGTTTATTATGGAGCCAAATCTAAGTGGCCATGCCCAAGAACACAGATCTCACATTCCAATGTGGCATCAGTTTTATGAGGTTTTAATTGTGTGTGAATGGGGCACAGTAAAGAAACCGCCAAAACGGCCCTTTTGTCAATTAAAGAGGAAGGTTTTTATTGTAGATAAGAAAGTATCTGGAGGCATCTGGAAAAGTTCAGAGCAGAGAGAGAAAGCTGCAGACTGGCCCTGGCCCTGGGGTATCTGCAAGAAAGGGGAGAATAACAAAAGAGAACGGTGCAGATGCTGAGATGGAGGGCAGTGCAGGGTGTGGGGGTGCCATTACATAGAGAACCCGTGGGTATCTGGGGGAGGAGACCTGGGACTTTGGGGTAGAGGAGGCGGTGAGAAGGGCCAGGATGCTGGAGTTGGGGGCTTGAAATG